CGGTTGAAAGTATTCACCCCTGATGTGTAACTGTAAACTTTGGTTCGGTTGAAAGTATTCACCCCTGATGTGTAACTGTAAACTTTGGTTCGGCTGAAAGTATTCACTCCTGATGTATAACTGTAAACTACAAGTAATCAGGAAAATCGTGCAAGCATATCGTACATTAAATTCAATGGATATTCGACACAATATAAATTATCCAAGGAAGCTTCTATACTATTGTGTTCCTTATAACACCTCTATAGCGCCCCCTTTCAGAATATACCCGCAGTAGATAAAGGAGTTTTTGGCCTTGAAAAGATTCTCGTGATACGAAAGCACAAGGAAGATATTATGACATGTAATGGATTTGAACTATGACCCCCCCCCTCTGGAAAAAAATATAATATTTTATATAAACGGTCAGTTTTTTGAATAAGACAAAATTTTAAACTAATATTTTCCTGTTTCCTCAAAAAGTTTATATTACAGTTTCTCGTGAATCAAAGTGTATAATAAAAAAGAGTAGCTACTCGTAAAAATCATTATTCAGTAATCGCCAATAACATTCTGTAGTGTATCAGACAAAGTACAGAATTTACAATGATGATTTTAAGAAAAAAAAACACATTTCATGGTTGTAGTTTTGGCAGAAGTGTTAAGATTATCCACAACTGTCTGTAATTTTGAACCATTAACCAGAAGGTAGTCAGTCAGCAGCACCTACCACCCGCGCTAAGTGATTGACTTTCACTCTTATAACACACCCACAACTTAAAGTGGAGTAAATATTTTTTTTTTTTACCGCACGAATTTGAACTCTTAACTCCACAGTTCTACTTCAGGGGAAATCCGCCCTCCAGTAATCGACTGGCGAAAATTAGTATCTATATAAATATAATTGTACTGTCTGTTGTAAATATCTATATAAATATAATAGTACTGTCTGTTGTATGTACATGTAACTACTTCGCAGGATGTGAATGGATATCCACCAAAATTGGTATGGAGGTTCATTGTGTCTATGTGGGGGGTACATACAAATTTTCAGTTTTGCGATTTGTATGGGCGTTTTTTTTTTACAATTACATATAAGGGACGCAACTTTTCATGTCCTAAGATAACTTTTCATTAATCATGAATTTACATAACTTCCGTCCAGGGGACGGGTAGTCCAGCTAGTATTACAATTTTTTGAAAATATATTTGTTTATTTTAGTATTGTATTTCATGAAATTCATTAGAAGTTTCCATTATTCACGTAGTTATCGCTTTTATTTTTTCACTACTGTATCGATGACTAAAAAATGTTTTCGTTATCAAAATAACGAAAAGTGAACCGATTATTTAAAGATTTGTTCTATATCACAGTTTAAAAGAAATGATTAATTCAATATCACAAAGATAATATTCGAACTTACTGTTTCATTCGTCTATTTAAGGTAACTAAGAAAAGCCGAAATTGGTGGGTTCAGTTCTTAATTTTATGGCTTTATTTCCTGGAAGTAAAACGTCACACATTAGGTAAAATCCAGTGTGAAGCATTTATTTTTCTTTTGTGAGTGTGTATAAAATACTCACGTTTTACGTGCTTGACATGACAGTAACAATATTCTAACTATGAAACTTCACCATTAATCACCTCTTTCTATATTTCGCATTTTTTCACCAAATTATTTTTTATGCGCACATTAAAGTGCACCTCAGTACCGCGTGGTGTCGCTGAAGTCTCCTGAAATAGTTTGGTTGTGGTTAAGCACAAAAGTACAAAATGGATTCTCTCTTCTCGCCACGAGTATTAAAACCCTATTTTTAGCGCGGTAATCTTGCAGACTTACCGCTGAGCCACGGGAAGACCTCTCGACATAAGCCATATTTTCAATTAACCTTTACCCACCTTTCCGATATAATGTCTCCGATTTTGATGAAATATATTTTTGTCACTGTAGATAAATGACCAAGTGGTTAGGGGTGCTCGACTCACAATCTGAGGGTCGCGGGATCGAATCATCGTCCCACCAAACGTGGTCGCCCTTTCAGCCGTAGGGGCGTTGGTAAAAGAGTAGCCCAATATTTGGCGATGGGGGGGGGGGGGGTGATGACTAGCTGTCTTTCACTGCTAAATTATGGACGGCTAGTGCAGATAACCCTCGTGTAGCTTTGGGCGAAATTCCAAACAAACCAAAAATCATTGAGAGATTCAGTGACATAATAGGGCTTTAAAACAACGTTAAGATTGTTTATCTGTCGCGAACTATCGATCTCTATACTAGAGTCTTTGGGGTGGAAACCGTAGAATGGAAGGTATTCACTAGAACTAGCGGTTCTCAATCTTCGGGTAGTCCGTGGAAAGATTGTATAATTAAGGAAATAAAGAGGCACCATAGTGCATAAAATCCAAAAATCCAGATACAAAAATCAGGTGGTCCGCGAAAATTGAAAAACTTTGACAATCACTACTCTAGACTGTCAAAGTTTCACTAAGGGTAGATTGTTTTAGAATTTCGCACATAGTTACACAATTACTATCTGCGTTATTCATAAATTTAAACTGATGGAGTAGAAGGAAGATAGCTAGTCAACAACAACTACGGTCCTAAAAGTGCGACTGTTTTTTGTTGTTGTTTTTTTTTGCGGTAATGGGACACGAACATTGGACCCCGTAGCTCCACATTCCGGCACTCTAACCACTGAGCTTAGCCCAGCTCGGAAAGGGGCTAAAAATTAAGTAAAACAAACAAAAAAGGGTTAACGCGGTTGAAAGTCCCAGTATACCGTTTGATTCTGAAACTGGCTATAAGAATGGAGCAAACAATATGATGTCACTATTGCATACGTCACTGATCACGTGATTTTACATCAGTCAAAATATAGAAAGTTGAATGCAAATAGAAGCATTTAGTTAAAGTAACTCAAGGGTGAATATGAGTGATAGTTGTTCAAAAATTGACAACAAAATCCTGGCCAACAAGCTGCTCGAAAAAATTCATTCGTCAAAGAGGTATTTGTAGAAGCAATAATGTAAGTAAAAATATTCTTTTTACTTGATTATTTTTATTACTTGCATAATTAATTATTGATAACATTTTAAGATCTGAAAATCTGGTCACCATAGCTATGTTAATTTTATTTGCTTAGACAGTTGCTATGGTAATCTCACATATAACACACACATTTATATTGAATAGATAAATACAGGAGAACATTCATAAGTCACTTTGGTTGAATATTAATAGTATTAATTATTATTATTTCTACTGTTACTGTATTACCAAAGTTAGATTCCAACTTTCCAACTGATGGCAGACCTGTAAATATGGTGTATATTTTTATACCAAAGTTATTATTTACGCACAATACGCCTAAAAATTACTCCAGGGGATTCATCAAGCGTAAAACGAAAAACTAATACAATGGGGATAGGCCTAACTATTGGCAAAAAACTTGGTATACAATCTACTGCTTTGCGAAGTGTGATAATAATTTTTTTACTGTTAAATACAATTATTAAACACTTAAAACCGTATTTATTTCTTAGAATTACCCCAATTTTAAAGTGCATTTTGTTTTTTAACTGGAAATTAATTTATTTTAGGGTGTAGGCCTTGCTGGCTTCCGATACCCAACTTTTGAAAGTATTACTTGACCTACTACCCACACAAATCCTAGTTTACATATATATAATTATTACTATTATACTTATTATGTAATTACAACTTTACAGTAGGTTCGAGCTTGAAATGTTATATTCATATCTTACACTTTATTTGGTACCTTATTATCATAAGACAGTTTAAGTTTTTCATGTAACTCAAACTCTTCTGTTTAACTCACATTTGTAGCTTCATACAAGTGAAACAGTTATTGGATGATTTTTATTTAATAGCAAAGCATTTCATTTATACCCACACGAAATGGTGTACTCCTAGAAAAAAACCCCTCAAAAACACGTACCTGCAGATATTCCAAATCCCACGCAATAGGCCTTGAGTTCACATTCTCACAATTAAGTACAAAAATCTCACGCAAAACCAGAGAAACACTTAAACTTTTTCATTCTGCGAAAAAGATCAAACCATGCTGAAACAGAAATGGTTGCTTATTCATGAATTTTTTTAGATCGTCAAGATAATTAACGCTAATTGTGTCTCGAAATGCACCAAACCGCCTCTATTTCCAACATTCTCCAAGGAACATCTCCCCCTCATGGCGCGTAGGGTTTTGTACACATCCGACTCTCAATACTTTCTGAACCCTGCCATCTATGCACCTGCCACTGTATGGCCTATAAAAATGGAAAATACGAAGCTACACGTCTAGAAATAAAACATTAATTATAATTTTTTGTTTGATTCAAGGTCACAATGACGGAATGTTGCACACGTTCTTACAGTTTAAACTTAGCCATACCTTCAGAGGATTGTTTAGCTGGCCCACACAACTTCTCTGCATCATGGACCACGTCCAAGAGATTATCAGACGAGATTTTGTATCTATGACAGATAGAGGTCATGATAAAATATAAATAACAAGAAAAAAAATTTTACTCTGCTTCTTTTTAATATTTTCTTCCTCAATTTGTACATAATTCCGGTCAGTATTTTATCTTATTAAACCAGTTCAGTAGTTTAATAATTTCATTTGTTAATTGTATTACGAAGAAATTAGACAAAACAGGATTTATTAAAACAATGCTGATAAAATAACAGAGATGAAAAGAATCTTTTAGCAGTATTGTTGGATACGATTTTGTACATCAAAACGTATGTGTAGTAGGTTATTGTTACATTTAGTAAAAAAAAGTAATGAAAATTATAATTCTCAAAAATATTACTACAATGTATTCATTTGATGTAGTGCTAAATTTTATAGTGTCGGAGCTCTACTAAACTTTCTAGCATACGTGTGATGTCGTTAGCAGATGACAGAATTCATATTCAAAACCTAATTTCCATTGCTAGAATACAAGTGCTTGAACGTTGTTCCGGATCGCTCCTGCAGCACCAAAACCTTGGCTGTATTATATTTTAATAATAGCGCTCACCAATAGACGCAACTGTTTATTTGTGGATTTATTTTCATCTTCAAAACGCGAATTTCGGCGAAGGAACGATGACATAAAGGCCTAATCCGTTCCTTGATTCGTTACTTCTGTTGCAGAAGTTTCGCTGTATTTCCAACTCATAAGTTCTGCTTGAAAGAGCGAAGAAAATAAATAAAGTAGGCCTAATGTAGTAATGGAATGTAAGCAGTTTGTTTGGTTTCATATATAGTCCTTTATTCACCACTAATAACCTAAAATACTTTAGAGTGATAGGTAGCATGTGAGAGTGTGTTTTTAAGCTAGAACTATAGAAATTTTTTTGTTAAAGCTGTATTAAATTCTCATTGTATTTGAGAGTCCCCCCAAAAAAATCAGTTTAGGTGAGTCACTTTAACCTATTTTTAGTCTTCCTTTAAGCCATAAGTTGATATATTAAACAAGATGGAAGAAGTCAATTACCTATTGAACATCTTAGTGCTAGTTGTAAACGGTTAAACATTGGAGAAGACATTAAAAGGATGTAACGATCAATACCAGCTCATCACACAAGACAGTAGTTTTGGAAAGTAGGGTTAGCCTTTAAATGATGCGTTTCCACCTTAGATTAACTTAGACCACAAGTTGTTCTAATTCAGTGTTTCTCTCGTTGCTTTATCCGTTTCAACGTTTAGAAATATTGTGTTTTCCTTGTCACTACAAACGTTGCAAAATGACTGAATTAAATGTAAAACATATTTTGTTCACATTTTAATAAACTTTTACCATGACTAGATGAGAACTACAGCTCTAAGTAAAATAGGTTCTCATCAGCACAACTACAGGTCAGTGTTGAAGGATGTTCACAGTGGTTCTATATTTGGTGCGTGTACCAATTACAGTTGTAGTTCTTGTCAGTCCAGCTACAGATCAGTGTTGAAGGATGTTCACAGTGGTTCTATATTTGGTGCGTACCTACACCAATGACAGTTGTAGTTCTTGTCAGTCCATTTACAGGTTAATGTTGAAGGATGTTCACAGTGGTTCTATATTTGGTGCGTACCTACACCAATGACAGTTGCAGTTCTTGTCAGTTCAGCTACAGGTTAGTGTTGAAGGATGTTCACAGTGGTTCTATATTTGGTGCGTACACCAATGACAGTTGTTTTGTTTGTTATTCGTATATGCTGAACGGTAGCTATATTGTTTTTTTTTGATTTTATTAATCACCTTGTTTAACTTTCACTGTCATAATATCCTGCGTGACCATATTTTTACACACTGCTAGTAACAGATTCATGAGGCGGAAAACGTAATCTAATGATGAATGATATAACCACAGGAGTGACGAACAACAACGTATTTATTGAACGTTGACAGTAAAAGCAAAACTATTCTGTGATTGGATTTTGCAGCACATTGCTACTGTATAAGCTGGTGTATGAAAGTATGCAGGTGTGGGTTCAGCACAATTTTACCTATGAATGATTTTGTTTGATTATTGTAAAGCACAAACCTACATAATGGACCATCTGTGCTCTTCCCACCACAGGTATCGAAACCCAATTTATTTGCGTCATAACTACCAATAAAAAGCAAAATGACTTGAAATTTGTCTTCCTCAATCTATGTGCCCCTATGAAAAGAAACTGCTCGCAACAGTCTTCCTACGCAGTTCCATTGCATATTATTCCTGCACGTTCCAGTGCATAATCCTCTTGCGCAGTTCCAGTGCATATTCCTTCTGCGCAGTTCCAGTGCATGATCTCTCTGCGCAGTTCCAGTGTATATTACTCCTACGCAGTTCCATTGCATATTATTCCTGCACGTTCCAGTGCATAATCCTCCTGCGCAGTTCCAGTGCATATTCTTCCTGCGTTGCCAACATTTAAGTGGGACACAAAGATCGTATTGCATACCTGTCAACAAATTACTTGCAAAATAAAGAAGAACTTGTAGTGTAATTAACGCCGTTTAACAACAAACAGCTTTAGTTTTTCTTACTCTCTTGAGTGACTTTCGCGTTTCTTGTTGAAGTCATTCTAGAACATACGCGCTACACTACTACTGATGACATCACATAAAGTGCGCTCGTGGGTCCACCTGCAGGAATGCTGGAGAAAACTCATCCAAGGAAAATGTCCATAAGACGTGTAATAACGTATAGTTAACAGTTATTATATTGACTACAATTTTAATAAGTTAGACGGGTTTAATGTTAGATTTGAAATGTACTCACGATTAAGGACAATCCCGGCTTAAATTCCATTGTAGGTCTAAAGAAGAGTTTAGTTACAAACTGAATGTCGTAAACGTGTTTTCTAACAAATAGACTTCAAAGTTTGATTATTATTGTTCAAGCGTGGCCTAAAAAATAATTTTCTATGCATTAAACATTTTAAATTTATTTGTAAATAAAACCTGTTTTCATGTCAAAATGTCTCAGAACATTAAACTCTATGAAATATAATAAACATAGAACAAGTAAATATATAATCCACTTATAATATTTGTCACAGATGACGCCACTGTGACATCTTGACAATATACGATTTTTTGTGTGTGACTTTTGACACGTGATATTCTGATTGGACGAGAGCCATGATACTGTTTATATAACACGTATAAAATATTAAGTAGGTAAATATTACCTATAATATAATGAAGAACTGGAGATACAAAACTGATGACGTTGATTAGATATTACAGGGGGGCAAATTTTTGAAGCGGCACCAATAAAACGTGAAAATGACGTTTGTGAGGCAGGGGAATAAAATAACTTTTTTCCTCAAAAAAATCACAATTGTATTTTTTAATTATAGAAGTATAAAATGTTTTTCATTTGTACTGTATTTTTTACTTGGTAATAAAATATTGAGGTCTGTTTAAATCATAAGTGACTAAATTTCGCTTTATGTTTTTTATTCTTAATTTTTGAAAAAGTAAATAAGGATTACGTTTGCAGGCGGAGGGACGCCAGAAATTAAACGTCATGCTGTTTTTTGGCGCCATCCCAAAATTCGACCCTTCCTTTATAAGAACGTTGTTTATCTTTTACTTTAAGAGGCTTGACTCTCAAGATGGTGGGCTCGAAGAACGCCTATTCTGACATTAGCGGCACCTATGGGAAATTTAACTTTCCCACGCTTTTTTTTTAAGATATTGAATAATGCTGACTTATGCCGAGCTTTCACAATGTGTAATTCTATTTGAGTTCAACTCAATGGCGCAAGGTATTCTTTCAACATGTTAACATCGAACAGAATCAGAGCTTTGGATGTAAGTTTTCATGTAAGCTTTCACATCTTTCATTCATTCATTTTTTTTGTCAAATGTTAGACCCAACTAACGAAAGGCAACAGGGATAATGTGAAGTGTTTAGGTCTTGATAACCGGTCAACAATACTGATTGACGGGGTTCTTTGTTAACGAAACATAATACTCACCTACAAAGACGGTCTACAGCATTGCTTCACCTGCTATATAGGTAAGGCACAGGATAATATCAATAAATATAGGTCTACAGCATTACATCTTACTTGCTTTATAGATGATATCAATAAAAAAAGATCTACATCATTACCTCTTATCTGCTCTATAGGTAGACACCAGATGATATCAATAAATAATGGTCTACAGCGTAACCTCTTACCTATTCTATAGATGATATCAATAAATAAAGGTCTACAGCAATACCTCTTACCTGCTCTATAGATGATATCAATAAATAAAGTCTAGAGCATTACCTTTTACCTGCTTTATAGATGATATCAATAAATAAAGGCCTACAGCATTACCTTTTATCTGCTCTATAGATGATATCAATAAATAAAGGTCTAGAGCATTACCTGTTATCTGCTCTATAGATGATATCAATAGATAAAAGCCTACAGAATTACCTAATATCTGCTCTATAGATGATATCAATAAGTAAAAGTCTACAGCGTTACCTCTTACCCGCTCTATAGATGATATCAATAAATTAAGAAGAATTAAATAACGTTTACAGCATTGCTTCACCTGCTCTATAGGTAAGGCACAAGATAATATCAATAAATATAGGTCTACAGCATTACATCTTACTTGCTTTATAGACTATATCAATAAATAAAGATCTACATCATTACCTCTTACCTGCTCTATAGGTAGACACAAGATGATATCAATCAATAAAGTCTACAGCATTACCTCTTACCTGCTCTATAGATGATCAATAAATAAGGGTCTACAGTATTACCTCTTACTTGCTCCATAGATGATCAATAAATAAGGGTCTACAGTATTACCTCTTACTTGCTCCATAGATGATATCAATAAATACAGGTCGACAACATTGCTTCTCACCTTCTGTACGGTGATAGTAGGAGTGGCATAACTCGGTCATAAAGCCACCCTACCCTCACCATTAAAACCTTTTTCGAGTTTCAGTCAGAGTATTTCCAATATTAAAAAATACGGTCCATGGTTGGCCAAGGTCGCTATATCATTGTATAGTAGTTGATATCAATAAATAAAGATGGTCTACCACATTATTCTCACGTGCTTGTGACGTAAAAGCTTAGTTCCGATTCTGAATAACTTGAGAATGCCTCAAGTGCAACATATATATACCGTAAAATTAAACAGTTCAAACAGACATGATCAGAAAAAGCATGTTACTGTGCAACATATATACGTAAAATTAAACAGTTCAAACAAACATGATCAGAGAAAGTATGTTACGAATAGATGTCACCCAATCTTCACAGCTCTGTTATTAACAGTTTCCAATAACGTTGTAAACCACCCACGTGTTTTTTTTTCAGGGATTACCCACGTGTTTTTCGTGAACAGATTCCCTTGTATTGCTGAAAGAATACCGAGAATGAATTGCCACATGTATTTATTGTATTCATACACTTTACTAGTATCTCTCTTTTTTTTATGTCGCTTTATTCAGAGCTGACTTTCATTTTCGGAATACTTTCTCTATCTCCAGTGTATCTATTGTGATATTTTAGACAACAGGCTATACTGAATGTGTGGCATTTAAGGGCAATTAATTATTTCCGAAGACAAATTAGACGTCTTGGTATGGATAGAATTACATTCATGTCAGGCTTACTTAGCAACATATAAAACATGTTACTCACGGGAGTGCCGCGCATTCTACTTCAAGTTAAAGTATCAACCTTAAATGATACAATGTAACATTACACAAACTAGAACCCTTATATGATACAATGTAACATTATACAAACTAGAACCCTTAAATGATACAATGTAACATTATACAAACTAGAACCCTTATATGATACAATGTAACATTATACAAAGTAGAACCCTTATATGATACAATGTAACATTATACAAAGTAGAACTCTTATATGATACAATGTAACATTATACAAACTAGAACCCTTATATGATACAATGTAACATTATACAAACTAGAACCCTTAAATGATACAATGTAACATTACACAAACTAGAACCCTTATATGATACAATGTAACATTATACAAAGTAGAACCCTTATATGATACAATGTAACATTACACAAACTAGGACTTTTACAGTAAAAGAAAAAAAATGTTAAATTTATAGTGAACAATGTCACATTTTTATAATATCTTGTTAATATGAATTATTTTTGTTTTTTAGTGAGCTATCCATGTAGATCAATATAGTTTCCCTTAATGTTGGGAGCATTCGCATATGAACAACCAAATTTCGTTTACTGTTTGTGTGTATACATACTGATAAGTTTGTTTGTTTCTAATTTCGCGCAAAGTTACACGAGGGCTATCTGCGCTAGCCGTCCCTAATTTAGTAGTGAAAGACTAGAGTGAAGGTTAGTCATCACCACCCACCGCCAACTCTTGGGCTACTCTTTTACCAACGAATAGTGGGATTGACCGTCATATTATAACGCCCCCACGCCTGAAAGGGCGAGCATATTTGGTGGGACAGGGATTCGAACCCGCAAACCTCAGATTATGAGTCAAGCGCCCTAACCACCTGGCCATGCCGGGCCTCACACTGATAAGAGCATCCACTTTGTATTAATCCTGACCTTTCTTAAAGTCTTGTCTACATTAAATATTACTGAATACGGGAAAGCCAACTTCTTGGGGGTTGCACACAGACTGTCCGTTTTATTAGTACCAATAATCGCAATAAAACCTTGAATTCAACAAGATACTTGAGCATGTCTTGGTTAATAGAAACCAATTTGTTCAAGAGTTTGAATATCAATTGATTCGAAGCTCTCAGATGAGGAAAATGATAAGAGTGACGTTAGAGTTCATTCTAAACTAATAGCTCAGTCGAATTAAAAGCCAGTGATCATACTGGTTGAAGTCACTGTCATGGCCTTGAAAACAAAGTAGAACACGAGCACCGTGGATTGTTTCAATATCATCTTGTAGACTTTCTCTAATGTGATGTCTTTCTACAATTACGAGACTCATGTTGAAGTCACTGTCATGGCCTTGAAAACAAAGTAGAACACGAGCACCGTGGATTGTTTCAATATCATCTTGTAGACTTTCTCTAATGTGATGTCTTTCTACAATTACGAGACTCATGCTGTCATTCGATATATCATACAAGCATTTTTTTTTTTTTGTCATACGAGTAACACGAGAACAGGAATTTCTAAGAAAGTAGGCAGTCAGTGTAAGAACATATACTTAAGTTTGTTCTGAAATTCATAAATAGATTTCTAGTAACATCCTCAGTCTATTATTAACAGCTGGCAGCGATCTAAAAGTCATCTGAATGTTTTTAAAGGAATTCCCTTCGTGCTTTCTGTGCAAAGAGTTCCTAGCATTGTTGGAAGGATACCAAGACTGAAGTGCCCCATAAATTCATTACAATTATACTCTTTATTAACAAAAGGTGAATAGTGTAAGTCAACTGAAAAAAAAATCAACACAGAATGTTTCCAAGATGCTACTAAAACAAATATATACATGGCATGATCATGTTGGTTATTAGCTAAATAATTTGACAATCCAAGAATCAACGCCAGTGTACTTCAATACTGGCAACATTCTTCGTATT